CCGCGCTCCCCTGAGCCTGGCTGATGAAGCTTATCAGGATAAGCTGAATCACTAGAAACACAGCAGGAAGGAAGTAACGCCTTGCTAGCATTGTTCTATGAGAACAGTGAGCTTCAATTCCTAGTTCTGATGGGCGAACTGGGGGTGTATGGTCAATACCAGTTACAAGGGAACCGCCGCGTCCATGAAGCATACAGCTCAACCGTATATATATTTGACGATGAAGCTGAAATGACAGAACTGCCCCACGTCCAAAGAGCTCCCTTGCTTCTGCTGAATGGTCAAATGCATGAATGGCACGAGACAAATAAAATGTGGAGAAGGGAAGCAGCTATCACTCTCCCTTTGGCAAGAAGTGTAACTGATTTGAGGTTACCTCGTGGATGGGAAGCTTCTATCATAACGAGGCGGCTGATCCAGCTGCCTTTAGCTCCACAATGATTTCTAGAGAAGGAAACCGATTTTTAAAGACGCCTAGGAACAAGCGCCATCTCTAAAAATGACCCTTGTCCCTAGCCACCTCTACAAATCTATTTGAAATTTGATATTTTAAATATTATATACATATATAATGTTTATATATTCAAATTTTCAAATGCATGAATTTCAAAAGTCTATAAGATTATATACGTGGAAAAATATTTATGTGATAGAATGAGATAGTACACGTTGACAATATAATTTCAATCAAGTCGATAGAAACCAAGTGTCATAAAGTACACATATTGTCCAAGTTCGTACAAATGTAAGTAGACTAAATAGATAACCTAGTATAAATCAAGTAGAACACACCCTCTTGCTCACCCACTACGCCGAATGAGATCATAACCTAGTATAAATTTCTACGTGATACAAGACTGAGCCTCTGCTTGTGCACAAATGGAAGCCTTTCACATCATGCCAAGCACGTTCTCTGCGCCATGCTGACCAAATGGAGGTTCGTTGGACGTTGGTCAATAGTCTTTTGTCTGCATCAGTGGAGAAGCCACTCAAGTTCTTCATACGACGACGGAAGACTCGCCATTCTTCGCCATGACGTGACTGTCAGTGCAATTTTACCGTAATCGTCCATCAGCGAATGAGATTAGTTTCTCGGTGTCGCCTTTGGCGCTGTTAGTATCAAAAGTGGCACGAGAGAATTAACAGGCCAGCCATCCAATCCAGCACAATATGAATTCACTACCGGAATCTGGAAGTTTGCCGTGTGCCCACGGCACACGGCGAAGCCAAAAAACACTCGGCAAAGGCATTGCCGTGTGTTACACTCTGCAAACAGCACTCGGCGTACACAGAGTCGGCAAACGTTTCTTTGCCGAGTGTTTTTTATCGGGAGTGCCAAACTGACACTCGGCAAAAAAAAGCATCGTGACGGCGAGAAGCCGTTCATGACGCGTTTGCCGAGTGTCTAACGGCATAGACACTCGGCAAATATGTCTTGTTTGCCGAGTGTCGACGGAAAAAAACGCTCGGCAAACAATGGTTTTTTGCGAAAATAAAAAAAAAGTCCGCTCGTGCCATGCCCGTCCCCGACCGGTGTGGTCCCGACCGGTGGCTGCTCGGCGTCCAACAAGCGCGCGGCGGCAGCCGTGATGACGGCCACGGAACGTACCGACGCCACCGTGTCCTAGTGTTCCCGCTGCTGCTCCCGCCGCTCGGCCGCTCCCCGCTCCAACCGCCCGCCGCGGCCACCGCTCCCGTCGCCCTCGCCGCCCTACCCGCGCAGCCACGGCCTCGGCCTCGGCCGCCCGCGCCGCCCCGCGCGCCCGGCCGTGGCCGCCTCCTGCCGCGCCGCCCACCGCCAGCCGGTGTCCCGCGTCCGCCACCGCCCGGCCCGCGCCGCTACGATCTCGGCCCCGGCCGCCCGCGCCGCCCCGCCCGCTCGCCCCGCGCGCCCGGCCATGGCCGCCTCCTGCCGTCGTGCCGCGCCGCCCATCACCGGTCGGTGTCCCACGCCCGCCGACGCCCTCCTGCCCCTTGTCCCTTGGAAGATGAGGTGAGAGGTATGGATAAGGAGAGAGGGAGAGGGAAGGGATAAGAGGGGACAGATCAAGGGAGAGGAGGTTCGGGCCAATGGGAGAGCTCAATTTTGGAGACACGGATCGTTGACGTGGCGGAACGTGTTTCTTTAAGTTTATAATGTGTTGAGTTTGCCGAGTATCGGATCTAGGATACTCGGCAAAGATGGCTTTGTCGAGTGTCAGAACACGGCACTCTGCAAACTTATCTTTGCCGAGTGTCTAGGGTTTGGGGCACTCGGCAAATATATTAGTTATTTTTTCATTTCCTTGTTTTCCATAATGTGTTTTTCCTTTTTTTGTTCGATGTACTTTGAAAATACCTTGTCAAATTAACTCAACAATATATATATGATTTTTCTACGAATATGATTCCATTATTTTATGCAGTTACATCTCAAATTTAATTCATATCAATTAAAATTCTATAATTGCACTTAATAAATTAAAATTATCAAACGGATCAAAAAATTACCAAAATTTCACATGAAACAATCTATGTTCTCTATTGCCTATACAAAAAGTTTTGAAGTCAAACCCAATTCGACCGTCACTTTGACTCCAAATCTTACCGAATCCTTCTCAATGCTACGATTCTTCTTCGGAGATGTTTCGGTTAAGCATCGTACGTGAGAAATTGTGCGAAACCTTCTCAATTTTTTACCACAGCCTCCACGTATGATATCATCACGTCATGACAAATCTCATGATTTTCAAACTTCGTTTGTTTTTTTAGAATTTAAAAACCATTCGGCCACATGTTCGTGGTCGTGTTTCCTGAACAAGATGTTCGAAATTTCTTTTCATTTCCCGAGTAAGGCCTCACACTGGACTCAATAACATGAATATCATTTTTCTACTCATTTTATTCTATTATTTTAATCACTTGCGGTTCAAATTTGACTTATACCAAATAATTCCTAGAAATGTAATAAATTAATTAAATATAGCAAACATATGCAGAAGTATACCAAATTTTAACATGGAGTACCATATGTTGTATGTGGAGAGTAGAAAAAGTTTTAAGGTCAGAAGAGAAAAAAATGAAATTATTTGCCGAGTGCCAAGTAATTACACTCAGCAAACATATTTCTTTGGCAAGTGTCAAATAATTATACTCGACAAACATATTTCTTTACCGAGTGCCGGCCTTTGCCAAGTGTTTTTTTAGCTCTTTTGCCGAGTGTTTCTACTAACGGACACTCAGCAAACGTACTAACGGACGGCACACAGACTGACGAATGTCCACGTGGCGGTTCTTTGTTGAGTGCCTAGGTTTTGTCGAGTGTTTTTTTTTCTGGTTTGCCGAGTGCCAAACTTTGCCGAGTGTTTTTTGCCTTTTTTGCCGAGTGCAATTATTTTGCCGAGTGTTTTTTTATAGCACTCGGCAAAGAGCTTATTTGCCGAGTGCCCAATAAAATGCACTCAGCAAACATTCTTGCACTCAGCAAACACCGAGTTTTCGGTAGTGATTAATCACAGACTAACAGCTGACACCACACCAAATTTCTAACACTTATGTCTCTTAAGATTATAGCCCTTACAAGGGCACGCGTTGATAGACATGTTGTTTTATTAAAATATAAGAGGATGGTAGGCTTGTATTTTAATAAACACATCCGTACTAGCCTATTCAGAGCGAACTGAGTCAAATTTTTACATACAACAGCATATCGTAAGCGATACATTCAAATTCTCTGCAAGAATCTTTGGTCCATCATGGCGCAGAGAAAGTCTAGGTCATTAAGTGGCATAACCAATTCAGAGACCAGTCGTCCATCACATTATGGCCGACCGGCCGTTCACGTCTTCGTGACGATGTTGACTGGCTTCCATTGCTGCAATAACAGAGGGTGACACGTTGTATCTTTACTCGTTCCGTCCAAAAAAAATACAATTTTAGGTTTGAAACAAGGAAAAAGAATTTAAAATTTATTACATTTATAGAAAATAGTATCAATATTTATATGTCTAAATAGATTTACTATAAATTCTATTGTATTAGTAATCTTATAATATTTATTCGATATCACAAATATACTTAATTCTAAAAGGTGAGTTACATTGTTTCTAGGTTGGAGGGAGTAGAAAGTTACACATGCATCGAATACTTGATTTTCATGCTGCTGGCCACCCAGTTTGAGATGAACTGAATTTTTTGTGTAACTGAAATTTAAGATGAACTAAAGAACCGATTAGTTCTGTTTAGTCTAACTGAATGGCCAGGAACTTGGCCTCTAGTGTGAGTTGAAAAATGGGAGAAATCATTCCGTGGTGGTAAGTGCTTTGGTCATAATGCATGAGTCCTGTTCTCGAGCTTGTGTAGTTGACCGAGACTTTTTTTTTCGTCTGCTTGAAATATCTCATTTTCTTTGTTTCGAATCCTCCTCTATTAATCTATGCCAGGCAAACCGGATGCTTATTTCTAAAATGAAAAGGTGCGTGATACTAGACATCACTTGCTCTTGTAGTCTTGTTGATTGGTCAAATGCATGATACTATACATCACCACTTGCAAATACAGAGTTTGGCTATTTGGGCAAATGTGGGGTTTCATTATTCTCAATCATTTTGTTATTTTCTCTCCTCTCCATCGAAATCAAGCTTTGAGCTCTCTGGTGTTGGAGGAGCTCACTTGTTTGCTATGGCATTTTACTCCCCAACAAACATTATTAGTGGAAAAAAATACATGACTAGTACATGAGATTGCAGTGATATAGTGCCTATTAGTACTACTTTGGTCAAAGAAATTATGTCATACTTTTAGGAATGTGTTAAATAAGCTGTCCAAATTGTCAGCAAGCTCCTTTACTTTGTTTACATCAGGCGCATAGAAAATCTGGGCCACTCTGCTTTGGTCAAATAATTCACATATCATATTTTCAGGAAACGTGTTGACTGAGCTGTCCAAATTGTCTGCAAGCTCCTTTATTTTGTACATCAGAGCGCAATATAAAAGCTCCTTTATTGACTCTTTGCGGCAAGATGTTGAATGGTCCTATTGCTGAAGAAGCAGAGGGTGACAGGCTTGTGAAGTCAGATTCATACAGTGCAATAGGCATGAAGCTCTATATAACCTCATCATATACGGTTAGCCCAAGGCAGCAGGATGATCTACACATGCATCCATCCATATATGCATAGAAACCGTCTCACTCTCACATAGCCATCCACAGCATTTCCATCCTGCCGCTGCTTGCTTTCATCTCCATCCACTTCCTTGCCCTGTGTCAATACACATCACCCGCAGCACTGAATGAATCCACTGCTCTCCTCTGTCTCAAATCTCAGCTCCGCGACCCATCAGGTGCATTGGCCTCATGGAGAGACGACTCCCCTGTGTTCTGCAAGTGGCATGGGGTGACATGCGGCAGCACGCAGCAGGCATCTCGAGTCATTGCACTAGACCTTGAATCCGAGAACATCGCTGGCAGCATATTCCCTTGCGTTGCCAACCTCAGCTTCCTTGAAAGGATCCACATGCCCAACAACCAGCTTGATGGTCTGATTTCTACTGACATCGGCCGATTAACCCAGCTTCGGTACCTCAACCTCAGCATGAACTCCCTCGGGGTGAGATACCTGAGGCAATATCCGCATGTTCCCACCTCGACACTGTAGAGAATAGGAATAGGACGATCGAGGCGAGCGGAGGAAGCGGTTTCAGGAAGGAACCCGCGCGGCTGATACCATGTAGAGAATAGGAATAGGAGCCAACAACTGTTGTATTGCCTCATCGGGTGATATTTATACAGATTACATCAAGGTGCACACGGAGCGCGACTCGGGTCGTGGCCGCCACGGTGACCGGTTATCCTAGCTCACGCAAAAACTGAGTGACTCTACAGACACGATCGACCTTGATAGCAATTCCCTCCAAGGTGAGATCCCTCCAAGTCTTGCTCAGTGCTCATCCCTTCATACTGTTATTCTTGGCTACAACAATCTTCAGGGAAGCATCCCTCCACAGCTTGGCCTGCTTCCCAGTCTCTACACGCTGTTTCTCCCCAGCAATAATCTCACAGGAAGCTGTTATGACCGGCATCTCTTACACGCGACGAAGGAGCTCAGGTGGCTAGCAGGAGGACGCAAGGCTACGTGCGTACGCTGAGTTGGGCTCCAGGCCCAAATTATCGTTATATACTATTATTAGAAATATTTGTATTGTTAGGGAGTTATTTCTATTTTTAGTAGAGAAAAGAGATATAAATATTCTTGTACGACTCTTTTGAGAATTTAAGCAGAAAACATATTGTTTTCTCGGCTTCCCAAGGGAGCCGGGAGTTTCACCGTAACCCCGCTCTAACTCGCGTACGCAAGCAGCCACGGCGCCGCCGCGCCGTCTTCCTCGCGTCCTCAAGCCTCGTCCAGCAATCACACACACATACAACCTTCGTTCCATCCCAGGGAGAGCTAGGCATCATAGCAGCTTGGTATCGGACTCAGGCACGATGACCACTGCCCCGCCGAGCACCGCTACTTCGCCACCGGTGCCCTCAGCGCCGCTGCCCTCTGCGCCACTGTTCTCCGCGCCGCTGCCCGCGGCATCCTCCGAGATCTCGGACGCCTCCACGGCCTCCGGCGGACCTCTGACCTTGGAGTCCCTGGCCGGGGTGGTTGATCAGATCGGCCGCAACGTGGCCGCCATGCAGTCGGCCTTGGCGGGTCTCCTTCCGCCGCCGCCCCCATCGCCACCGGCGCCTCCTCCTCCACCACCACCGCCGGCTATACCGTCTGCATCGCAGCAGGCGCGTTTCCCCTACGGCATGCCGCCGAGCGGGACGGGGGTACCCCTCCATCTTCTTCAGTGGCCGTCCTCACCGTCCCCCGTCCCGACCTGGGCACTGGCAGGGTCGGTGGCCGCGCCCATCTACACAACGGCCACCTCGCCTACACCGTCCGCAGCGACAGCCTCCATCGCTCCCTCGGTTCCCACCTCGGGGACGTTCTACGGCGGCACGGACGGAACGCTCCTCTACGGTGGCGCTCCTGCCACGACCGCGTCGGCGGTCCTCGGAGGCGGTAGCCCCCCGGGCGCCCTGCCCCATGCGGAAGCAGTTTTCAGCGGCGTTCTCGACCCGCCGAAATTCTACAAGCTCGAGTTTGCTACCTACGACGGCAGCGTGGATCCCCTCAATTGGCTTAACCAGTGCGAGCAATTTTTCCGCGGACAGCGCACCTTGGCTTCAGCTCGCACATGGTTGGCATCGTACCATCTTCGTGGCGCTGCCCAAACATGGTATTACGCGCTCGAGCAAGATGAAGGCATGCCCGCCTGGGAGCGCTTCCGCGCGCTGTGCCAGCTGCGTTTCGGTCCGCCCACGCAGGGTACTCGTTTGGCGGAGCTGGCTCGGCTGCCCTTCACCTCCACTGTCCAAGATTATTCGGAGCGTTACAACGCCGTCCTCTGCCATGAGCGCGATCTCAATGCTCGTCAGAAGGCACAACTCTACGTCGGCGGCCTTCCGGAGCACATCAAGGTGGATGTGGAGCTGCACCATCCGCAAGACTTGCAGTCCGCCATGTACTACGCGCGGGCTTACGAGCGTCGAGCGGCTGCTTTCCTGCCTGCGCAACAACCGCAGCAGCAACGTGGCCTTCGTCCTCCGGCGCGCCCTGGGCTCCATACACCGCCCAGACCGGGGGCAGCTCCATCTGCGGGGGCCGGTCAGCAGGTCCAGCAACCGGCCGCGCCTACACAGCCAGGGCAGCTGCGGTTCCGCCGGCTGTCCCCGGCTGAGCAACAGGAACGGCGTCGCCAGGGCCTCTGCTTCAACTGCGACGACCCGTACGTCCGCGGACATGTTTGTCAGCGCTTGTTCTACTTGGAGAACGACGACTACGTCGACGCCGAGATTCCGGCCGAGGTCGCCGTGGCGGCTGTGTTACGAGAGGAGCCCGCCGTTGCCCCTGTCCTGGAGCCCGCGGACGACGCGTCGTCCGCAGGGGCACACCCCACCGTGTCCCTGTACGCGCTCGCGGGCGTTCGGCCCAAGAACGCCATGCTGCTGCCCGCGACAGTGCACGGCCACCGTCTGGTGGCTCTCCTCGACTCCGGCTCGACGACTAACTTCCTCAACGCCGACCTCTTCAGTCGTCTGCAGCTGCCCTCCGTTCCGCATCCCTCGCTGCGAGTGCTCATGGCCAACGGCGACCGCGTGCCTTGCCACGGCCTAGCAAGTGACGTCGCCCTGACCATCGGCACCGAGGAGTTTTCCATCAGCTGCTTCGGCATCAGTCTCGGCGAGTTCGACCTCATCCTGGGGTTCGAATTCCTGAAGACCCTCGGCCCTGTTCTGTGGGACTGCGAGAACCTCTCCGTGGCCTTCACACGAGCCGGACGCCACATCCTGTGGAAGGGCCTAGGCTCCCCCTGCGACGACACCAGGGAGCCCAAGGTCCGGGCAGTCTGCACCTCTTCCGACCAGCCCCTCTTGGATCGGCTATTGCTCCAGTTCGGCTCGGTCTTCGACGAGCCGCGCGGCCTGCCACCGGCGCGCCGCTACGACCACCGGATTCACCTCCTTCCGGGCACCGCTCCAGTTGCCGTCCGCCCCTACCGCTACCCGCAGCTCCAGAAGGACGAGTTGGAGCGGCAATGCGCCGCTATGCTGGACCAGGGGATCATTCGTCCCAGCACATCTCCGTTCTCCGCCCCGGTTCTCCTTGTTCGCAAGGCGGACAACTCCTGGAGGTTCTGCATCGACTATCGCGCCCTCAACGCGAAGACCTCCAAGGACAAGTTCCCCATCCCGGTGGTGGAGCTCCTCGACGAGCTCCACGGCGCCCACTACTTCACCAAGCTGGACTTACGTTCCGGCTACCACCAGGTGCGGATGCACCCAGACGACATCAGCAAGACGGCCTTCCGCACGCACCAGGGGCACTACGAGTTTTTGGTGATGCCTTTTGGCCTCTCCAATGCCCCGGCCACGTTCCAGGTGCTGATGAACGACGTCCTCCGCCCATATCTCCGCAGGTTCGTGCTAATGTTTTTCGATGATATCCTGATCTATAGTTCCTCCTGGGCGGAACACCTGCAGCACATCATCGTCGTCCTCAACGCTCTTCGCGCCCACCGCCTGCACCTCAAACGTTCCAAGTGTTCGTTTGGGGCCTCCTCCGTGGCCTACCTGGGCCATGTCATCTCTGCAGCAGGCGTCACCATGGACGCCAACAAGATCGCGGCGGTTGCCTCTTGGCCCGTGCCGCGGTCTGCTCGGGCGCTGCGGGGCTTCTTGGGCCTCGCCGGCTACTACCGGAAATTCATCCGGGACTTCGGGATCATCGCGGCACCCCTAACGCGTCTCTTGCGGCGAGACGCGTTTGCCTGGGACGACGAGGCCGCCGCGGCCTTCCAGGCGCTCAAGGACGCCCTCACTACGGGGCCAGTCCTGCAAATGCCCGACTTCGACAGGCTTTTCACGGTGGACAGTGACGCCTCGGGTGCGGGGTTCGGCGCCGTCCTACATCAGGGCGCCGGGCCCCTCGCCTTCTTCAGCCATCCGTTCGCCGCGCGCCACCTCAAGCTTGCTGCTTATGAGCGCGAGCTTATTGGGCTGGTGCAGGCTGTGCGGCATTGGCGGCCTTACTTGTGGGGGCGCCACTTCCTCGTACGCACGGACCACTTCAGTCTCAAGTACTTGCTGGACCAGCGCCTGTCGACGGTGCCGCAACATCAGTGGGTCAGCAAGCTGTTCGGCTTCGACTTCGCCGTGGAATATCGCCCGGGGCGCCTCAACACGGTCGCGGACGCTTTGTCCCGCCGTGATGCCGAGACCGATGACGGCAACCTACCAGCAGCTGTGGCCCTCTCCGGGCCATCCTTCGCTTACCTCGACGACGTGCGTCGTGCTACAGCCTCCGCACCGGACGCTGTACTGCTGCTGGAGCGCTTGCAAGCCAGTGAGCTGGGCGCCCCCTGGCACGTGGACGGTGGCCTCTTGCTGCATGGCACACGTATATTTGTGCCTGACTCTGGTGATCTCCGGCACCAGGCCGTTCAGCTCGCCCATGGTGCCGGCCATGAAGGGGTCCAGAAGACACTGCACCGCCTCCGCTTGGACTTTTATATTCCAGGTGATCGGGCGATGGTCCAAGATTGGGTGCGTGCTTGCACTACTTGCCAACGCAACAAGACCGAAGCCCTGCAGCCCGCCAGTTTGCTCCAGCCGCTGGAGGTACCGTCCCAGGTATGGGCGGATATTTCCATGGATTTCATTGAAGGGCTGCCTAAGGTCGGCGGCAAGTCGGTCATTCTCACCGTCGTCGACCGCTTCTCAAAGTACGCACACTTCATCGCGCTTGGCCACCCCTACACCGCGGCGTCTGTAGCCCGCGCCTTCTTCGACGGCATCGTCCGGCTTCACGGGTTTCCGACCTCCATCGTGAGTGATCGGGATCCCGTGTTCACCAGCCATGTGTGGCGTGACTTATTCAAGATGGCGGGCGTGACTCTGCGTATGAGCACGGCGTTTCATCCCCAGACGGATGGGCAGTCGGAGGTGGTGAACAAGGTAATCGCAATGTATTTGCGCTGTGTTACAGGTGATCGGCCTCGCGCTTGGGTGGATTGGCTCTTGTGGGCGGAGTATTGCTATAATACTTCCTTCCATACTGCCCTCCACGCGACGCCCTTTGAGGTGGTGTACGGGCGCCCCCCGCCGGCCATCCTGCCTTATTGGCCGGGGACTGCACGTACCGAGGCTACGGATGCTCTTCTTCGCAGTCGTGACGAGATGCTGGCTGAGGTTTGCCAACGCCTTATTCAAGCCCAGCAGCTTGCGAAGAAGTATTACGACGCCAGCCACAGGGAGGTGGAGTTCGACGTCGGCGTGTGGGTCTAGCTGCGCCTTCTTCACCGCACGGCGCAGTCTCTGGACCCCCGTGCCAAGTACAAGCTCGGGCCACGATGGGCTGGTCCGTTCCGCGTGTTGGAACGCATCGGTCGCGTCGCTTATCGTCTTCAGCTACCCGTCGGCGCGCGCTTGCATGATGTCTTCCACGTCAGCCTGCTGAAGCCGCATCGCAGCGATCCTCCAGCGTCGTCCGGTGTTCTTCCTCCGACGCAGGATGGCCGCATCCTGCCAGCCCCGGACCGCGCTTTGCAAGCGCTGCAGCGTCACGGAGTTTGGCAGGTTTTGATCAAGTGGCGTGACATGGCTGTTGACGATGCCACCTGGGAGCGCCTCGACGAGTTCAAGATTGCCTACCCCGACTTCCAGCTCGAGGACGAGCTGTTTTCGCAGGCCAGGAGAGATGTTATGACCGGCATCTCTTACACGCGACGAAGGAGCTCAGGTGGCTAGCAGGAGGACGCAAGGCTACGTGCGTACGCTGAGTTGGGCTCCAGGCCCAAATTATCATTATATACTATTATTAGAAATATTGGTATTGTCAGGGAGTTATTTCTATTTTTAGTAGAGAAAAGAGATATAAATATTCTTGTAAGACTCTTTTGAGAATTTAAGCAGAAAACATATTGTTTTCTCGGCTTCCCAAGGGAGCCGGGAGTTTCACCGTAACCCCGCCCTAACTCGCGTACGCAAGCAGCCATGGCGCCGCCGCGCCGTCTTCCTCGCGTCCTCAAGCCTCGTCCAGCAATCACACACACATACAACCTTCGTTCCATCCCAGGGAGAGCTAGGCATAATAGCAGAAGAATTCCTGAATTTCTTGGGCAGAGCTAAAACCTGACATGGGTGAATATTCAGAATAACAGCCTTACTGGTGGGATACCCCCTGCTCTGTTCAACTGCACGTCTCTTCATTACATAGATCTGTCACACAATGCTCTTTCCGGGCCTGTCCCACCTTTCTCACAGGAATCTTCCTCGGCTCTGAATTACCTTAGCTTACACGAAAATAATCTCTCTGGAGAATTCCTAGCTCACTTGGTAATCTTTCTTCCCTTGCTTTGTTACTGCTTTCTCATAACAGTTTACGAGGAAGGATTCCAGAGAGCTTAGGTAAGCTTAAAACTCTGCAAGCACCAGACCTCAGCTATAACAACTTGTCAGGCACCGTTGCACCTGGACTTTATAACATCTCCTCTCTCACTTTTCTTGGAATTGGGGCCAACCAACTTGCCGGTACACTTCCCACCAGTATCGGCAACACCCTTACAAGCATCACACAGTTGATATTGGAAGGGAGCAGGTTTGAAGGTCCAATTCCAGCTTCACTGGCCAATGCCACAAATTTGCAATATCTAGATCTCTGTAGCAACGCATTCACAGGTGTTATTCCTTCACTGGGATCCCTGACCTTGTTGAGTTACCTAGATCTAGGTGCAAATAAGCTTGAAGCTGGAGATTGGTCTTTCATGTCCTCTCTAGTCAACTGCACACAGTTAAAGAATTTATGGTTAGATAGAAACAACCTCCAAGGTATAATATCTACTTATATCACCAATATCCCAAAAAGCTTAGAGATCATGGTTCTAAAAGAAAACCAATTCACAGGTTCTATACCATCAGAGATAGGAAAGTTCACGAACCTCACGGTAATTCAGTTAGATAATAATTTTCTTTCAGGGAAAATTCCAGACACGGTTGGGAACCTCCAAAACTTGTCCATTCTGACCATATCCAAAAACCAACTTTCTGAAGAAATCCCAACATCAATTGGGAAGTTAGAGAGGCTTACTCAACTTCTTTTCGAGGAAAATAATTTGACCGGACCCATACCTTCTAGTTTAGAGGGCTGCAAACAACTGACAACACTCAATCTTTCTTCCAATAGCTTGTATGGAGGCATTCCACGGGAACTGTTTTCGATATCTACACTTTCTGTTGGCTTAGACTTGTCCAATAACAAACTCACTGGAGACATACTGTTTGAGATTGGTGCATTGATCAATCTGAATTCACTTAGTCTTTCCAACAATCGATTATCAGGTGAGATCCCCTCCACACTTGGTCAGTGCCTTCTTCTGGAGTCACTCCACTTAGAAGCAAATAATCTGCAACGAAGCATCCCAGATTCTTTCATCAACTTAAAAGGCATCACTGTGATGGATCTTTCACAGAATAACCTGTCTGGTAGAATTCCTGAATTTTTGGAGTCACTTAGCGCTTTACAGAGTCTAAATCTATCCTTCAATAACCTTGAGGACCCTGTCCCTGGAGGCGGCATCTTTGCTAAACCGAATGAAGTGTACATCCAAGGAAACAATAAGTTGTGTGCAACGTCTCCAGATCTACAAGTACCACAGTGCTTGACATCAAGACCCCAAAGAAACAAGCATGCCTACATTTTAGCTGTTCTGGTTTCACTTGCTAGTGTAGCTGCAGTCACAATGGCGTGTGTTGCTGTCATTATTTTGAAGAAGAGAATGAAAGGAAAGCAACTAACCAACCAGTCATTAAAAGAGCTAAAGAATTTCTCGTATGGTGATTTATTCAAAGCAACAGATGGTTTCTCTCCTAACAGTCTTGTTGGATCCGGAAGATTTGGATTGGTGTACAAAGGTCAATTCAAGGTTGAAGAATGTGCAGTTGCCATAAAGGTATTCAGGCTCGACCAATTTGGAGCACCAAGTAACTTCCTTTCTGAATGTGAGGCATTGAGAAACATTTGCCATCGGAATCTTATAAGAGTGATTAGTGTCTGTTCAACGTTTGATCCAACTGGAAATGAATTCAAAGCACTCATTCTTGAGTACATGGTAAATGGTAACCTAGAAAGCAGGCTCCATCAGAAAGAGTACACAAAAAACACGAAAAGACCATTGAGTTTAGGAACACGAATAGCAATAGCTGTAGATATTGCTGCTGCATTGGACTATCTTCATAATCGATGCACTCCTCCTTTGGTACAGCGTGATCTGAAACCAAGCAATGTCCTTTTGAATGATGAAATGGTTGCATCTCTCAGTGATTTCGGTCTTGCAAAGTTTCTTTCTGTTGACTTTTCAACAGGATTCAATAATTCATCGAGTGCTGTAGGACCAAGAGGATCTATCGGTTACATTGCACCAGGTGAGCACATGTTTGACTCTTGTTTTTTTTTAATCAGAATGAATTGTACTTATGTATACACGATATTTGTCCTGTAAATGATGCTTTGGCATAGTATCTATATTTTTACCAATTTTCTGAAATAGCTAAGTGGAGGACTTTAATATTAAGTTTTGCACAACATTGCAGAGTATGGCGTGGGGTGCAAAATCTCAGTTGAGGGTGACATCTACAGCTATGGAATTATTCTGCTGGAGATTATTACAGGAAGGCGACCAACTGATGACATGTTTAAGGATGGTGTAAACATCTGCAACTTTGTGGAGTCATCACTTCCACTGAATATCCATAACATTTTAGAACCAAATCTCACTGGATATCATGAAGGTGCAGATGGAGGACAGGAAATGGTTGAAATGCAGCACTGTGCCATGTAACTCGCAAGCCTTGGTCTAAAATGTTCTGAGATGTCACCCAAGGATCGGCCAAGAACAGAGGAGGTTTATGCTGAAATGTTGGCCATCAAAGAAGAATTTTCAACATTGTGCTCATTGGGAAGTGTATCTATGTTACTGTAATTCACATAGTACCTCTGTAGCAGTTGCACTTCGCGTATGGAAAAAGATTTGTACAAGGCAGTTGATCAAATAAATGCGTAGCCAGGGGCAAATAAGTATTAGTACTTTTCCTAGTATAAATAAAACTGGTGCAGTACTTGGGATCCGTACTAAGTGTCAACCCTGGCTATAGTACTAAGTGTGGTACTGGGAAACAATACCAAGTGTAAATAACAGTACGCATGACTGCTTCTACCACCGCATGTTTAGTTCAGAATCACCACATGTTTTAATGTTACCCCAAACTCCCTAAGCATCATAGCCCAATTGTGTGATGACCTAAAAAAATTCGAGCCCTTTTAGAACAAACTTGAACTCAATGTGTGCTGTGGACGCTTTCATTGCAGTATAGCAGGAAGAAGAAGAAGGCGCCAGCAGCCTCTAGTGGCTAAATATCGCCATAGTTATCTGTTAGGAGGCTGTTCCTATAAGTTAGGATCTATAAGCGTAAAAATAGGAGATTGGTTAGCAGTTTGTGGTGCTCAGCCGGCCATTAGGGATTATAACTAAGGGCCGGCTGATTAGAAAAGGCAAGCAGAAATAGAGTCATCTTGTTCAGAGCCTCCCAGGGAGGTGAACTAGCTCTATCGCTGCTACCATTTCTAGGTTTAGCCATTGTAATCCTCCTCCAGTTCATCAATAAAACAGCCAGATTCCTAGCCCTATCAATGCGAAACATTAATGACTGATACAATGAAACTAGTGGTTTTTTATGCTAGCCCACAGTGCTAAAATATAACACACTTCATCCCCATATAATATATAACTAAAGTTTTAGTTAGATACTGCAAAGCAAGATGCCCTTCTATATTTTTCAAGCAATAACTCCAAAGTGTGATGATGAAATAAAATGAATATTCTAGGCATCTATATAACATGTGTTTCAATCATGTGTTCGTGGCCTCCCATTTTACATTTCATAGCACATATTATGCAAAAAAAAGCAAGATGACCAACCTTCTCTGAAATTTAGAAATCTGAAGAACAGAACAAAATTTCACATAACTGAATAACACCATGCCATTTTCACTAAACAACAGCCTCTGAACTACAATGTCAATTCCAATAAATAACAAAATCATTCATATGATTGCTACTATATCCTAGCATTAAAACCCTATTTGCAAAACATGTAATGAAAGTTAGTATGCACATGGGGGCCATAAAAAAAAATACTATTCTCCAACGTTGATATTTGTAGACTGTTTTCTTTTCCTTGGTTATAGCCTACTATCTATCTGACTTTACTTCCAATTTGTTTCACTATAGGTGTGGGGTATGGGCTCCTTTTTCTTTGAAAAAAATGGTAAAGCAGTGGACAGTCTCAATCCGTATAGTGGTACTAGTGCTTGAACCTCTAGTTATAACGACTGACAACACAGAGCAGTAAACCGTTTTATTGGGAATGGGCCATGTAAACAGCGTTGTGCAAACCTGAAGCAATGCGAACCCGTACACTCTCCTCACTCTCTACCCTCATACTGAAAGGTAGCAGCAGACCCTGTACAGTGTGGGTCTATGGGGCATGGACCAGTCAACACCTTTCTCAACCCATATTACATACACCAAACAAAGAGGATTAAACATAAACACCATCATCAAAAACATAAAAATAGAAATTGCAGGCCACTGAAAAGACTAAAATGCTGAATACCACTCCAAGCAACAAACCATGTCATGTCATTATTCTACTAGAAAAAAATAACAAGCTGGTGTAAGATGTGAAAAAATCACTATCTCTATATGCCCCTACTTTCTCTAGTGCTACAAGTCATACATGGATTTTAGACTGAAATATATATAAATAAAATTGTTTAAATCTGTGTAGTACTGAATACTTATCATGAGGTATTGTTCGACCAAAAACACCTGCAGCCCATGCTACTTAGAAGCCAGCAGCCACTCCAGTTCATGGAGTTCTCAACATGAGTACCTCTCCCCCCCCCGCCCCCCAAAAAAAAAAAAGGTAGCTTAATTAATTTTCCATGTCCATTAAGCTGCATTCTCTTCTCCATGTAGTTTCAGAAACCCAACACTACAATCCTAGCCAGCTGCACAGTTTTCACATAGCAAAGCAAAATCAACACAGCAAGCTAGCTAATCGTCAGTTCAAATCTCAAAAGCAAAGGAAAATCTCAAGTCCACTGACCTCGGGGCCGGCGGCGAGTCGGAGCCACGGAGCAGGGGAGCCGGGGATTCGTCAGGGCCACGGGCGTCTTCCTCTCAGGCCTACGGGCTCGGGTGCGCTGGCCTGTGGCGCTCCTCGCCAGCGTGGGCTCGGGTTCCGCTCCAAGGAAATCGGCCGGAAGTCGGCCCTCTTCGCCGGCGCGGCTCTTCGCGGGCATGTGGCCACGGGCGCGGCGCGGAGCAGAAGCTGGCGGCACATAGCAGAGGCCAGAGGCACGGAAAAGCTGACGGATGATGGTTTGGTGTAGGCTTTTTTTTTTTTTGAAACAGTTTGGTGTGGGCTTTTGGCTTACATGGGCCAAGTTTTGACCGACACATAACAGGTCTTCTATCCCTAATTTGGACAGTATATAGAGAGAAAAAAAAATGTTCCAACAAGCTTCTAAGTTTTTTTAGTCTCCTACTAGCCCCTTTTCACTATCCATTCCTGGCCAATAGGTAGCTACGCCCGACGCCTCCACGGATCATGTCGCCGACCGTCGTTCGCCCCGCCGCTACCTCCTTGGTCACCAACGGTCCTCGTCGACGCTGGATCTGAACAGCCAACGGCGCCACAACCTTGCCGGATGCTCGGACTTGCGCAAGCAGCGGCGACGCAAGTTGCGCAAGCTCCGACTTTTCTTCCCAAGACGACGGACCTTCCTTGCGCAGGTGGACTTCCCTGACGACGGACCTCCCGGTGTTAGACCTCACCAAACTCAAGGGTCAATAGCCTCCACCGTCGCACCCCTTCCTGCATCGACAATGCTCTTCCCCGCCGACCCTCTTCCTCTCTCGAGCGCGCGGCACAACCCCTCCTCTATTGGCGGCCCTTTCAATGGCCAAGTCCATCGATGACGACAAGGAAAGGAGGAGGATGACATGTGGGTCCCACATGTCATTGACGGGTAGAATGGAATATGAGAGCCATGGTTTAAGTAGTGTTACTGGAGTTGAAAGCAAAAAATGTGTAGTACAAAAATAGGTGACTATCCAAGCAGCCAATTAGGGGGGCCTATTTTGGATAGCACTGCTGGAGATGCTCTTGATAGCGATCTATGCTTACAATCGGCAATGATACATCACTGTTGGTTGTAAACAAAAATCGATAGTGATATCATGGTAGTGATTGTCTGTTTTACAGTAGTGAGATAAAGTAGCTAGTTCATTGCTTGATTGACTAATAGATGAGCAAGGAGGTGATGAAGCAGTAGAGTTCTGCTATCTTCTTTCTGTAGTAGGCGTATCATTTTGTTTGATGATGGTCGGAGTTATAAACTCCTTTTGTTAGCTGGTATGTGGTATCCCAAGCTAGTAATTAACACTCCTTACTAGATTTAATTTCTTAAAAGCTAAGATAATCTCCTTTCATCAAAACAAAAAAGAAGAAGACACAAAGTGAAGAAAAAAAGAAGAAAAAAAAGGCAATTTCCATGAACGTAATTTCCAAAAAAAAATATTCACCTCCAACAAAAAACAAATTAAAGTTAAGTATATTATCTTAACCACTCATCATTTTGAAACGCTGAAATTGAACTAACCCCAATCTGATTATATCAGCCGTGACACTCATCTCAACGTAAGACACGTTGGTAGGTTGGTAAGTTGGACAAGGTATTTGACTGATGGCGATGGACATCTTTTCTTCTTCAATTCCTGCCCGCCTGCAGGCCGCCTGTGGCAGCTGTCCCACCAGTCCCCTCGGTGGTCATCCTGTATCTGCCCGGCAGGCCGGGCACCACCTCAGAACGTGAAACCGCCAACCACGACCCCGACCGAGGCGCAGTCGTCGTCGTCGTCATCCTCTGCCAGGATATGCCGGCAGCGGCACTCCTCGCTGCAGAACGCCCTTTCGCATCTGCAAGCACGACGAGACCAAACCATAAGCCATTGTCAGTACTCAGTCGTCACAAGCCAAGCCTCCGGGCTCCGGCCAAACGTATGTGCGCCTTGTATTGTACGACGCGCGCTCAGACCGACGGACCTGTAGATGTATATGTCCCTGCCCTCGGCGAGATCCCTGTGGCAGAAGAAGCACCGCTGCAGGAACGAGCAGCTCGCCGACGTCGTCGGCGGTGGTGTACGGGGAGAGGAGGAGCGGCTAAAGGAAGCGGAGGTGCCCTTGACGACGTCGCTCTTCGCGGTGTTGGTGGCGAGGAGGGTGGTGGCTTTGCTTGTGATTTGAGCTGCTGCTGGTGGGCGCAGCTGGTGCTGCTTCCGCTGCTGAGCCGCCGTCGTCTCCAAGAGCAGGCCTAAACCGGCATTGGCAGCCGCCATATGTGTTGTGTTTGATGTTGATATGTAATTCGTTTCACTTATGGGGTTTGGTGCCTGCTTATAAAGAAGATCAGATGCACTACTATCTATAAGCTCCTATATAAGATGCTTACTGTCATGGAAGTACTGAACGCGCTCATCACCGAGGCTGACCGTCACGCGGTCCTTACACCGTTGCCAGGGAACGCGATCAAGTACCGTGCCTCGGTGTACGCTGACGACCTCGTCATCTTCCTCGCGCCCACACCGCCAGACTTCAGCTGCATCCGACAGATCCTAGAGCTGTTCGCCGGGCGTCTGGCCTATCCACCAACCTGGATAAGTGCACAATCACCCCAATCCGATGTTCTTCAGACGTGATCCAGGCCGTCCAGGAGGTGTTCCCTTGCAGGCTCCAGGACTTGCCAACCAAATACCTGGGAGCTCCTTTGTCGCTGTCCAGACTGAGCCGCGCCGACGAACAGGTGCTGGTCGACGCGGTCGCCGCCCGAATCCCGACTTGGAAGGCTGGCCTTCTGACGAGCGTGGGTATTGCCACGCTGACGCAGACAACTCTCTCCGCGATCCCAGTACACGTCTCCATCTGTTGCAGCCTATCGGCACGGGCTATTGGGGAGATCGACAAGAGGACGCGCGCCTGTCACGCCCAGCCAGATGGATAGGTTGCCGGCGTGCACGCGCGGCTGGGAGCACGGCGACGGCACCGCCTCGAGCAGGTAACAGAAAGACGAAGAGGATTCTGAACTAGGTTTTTTCTTATTCGCTGACCTCCCAACCACCCACACAGCGAGTATATGAATTCGGTCTTACAATAAAACGGGCCGAGCCCAGACAAAACCTCCCCGTGGCTCGTAGGCCGACTAACAGGCCATTTCAGCTAGTGCAGCCCAATCCACGAAGATCAGCCGGAGGCCTGGTCATGACATCTCCCCCTCCTTAAGCAGCAACGCGCCCTCGTGATGCCGAAGCAGCTGGCTGCAGCAGTGAGGAGGGTACATCCACAGCACGCTCCTAGGTGGCCCAATGTACTGGACAGGACTCACGCTGCAACAAAGCAACCGGTACCACCCGGTGACCCACCAGATGAAGCCGTTGATCCAGTACCTAGGATGGTGGAAGATCTTCCAACATGTAGAGAAGCCTAAGTTCCTCATCAGTAGACAGACTGGTGTTCGGAGGTAAAGCCTTCTTAAGCCGAGAGACATGCAAAACATGATGAATGTGACTATTAGCAGGTAACTGAAGCTTGTATGCTACTTTACCGATGGTTTGGAGCACCAGATATGGTCCGAAGTACTTGTAACTGAGCTTTTGGTTGGTACGACGAGCAACAGATTGTTGTATATGTGGTTGCAGCTTGACATAGACCCAATCGCCCACAGCAAAGGTTCTTTCTTGGCGTTGCTTATCTGCCTGATGTTGCATGCGCTGCTGTGCCCGAGCTAGATTCTGTTGGATGTGGTTCATCATAGTATTTCTAGACCGAAGCCAGTCATCCAGATCAGAAACTGTGCAAGTGCCAGTGGATGTGATGTCGAAGTGTTTAGGTGGATGACCATACAAGGCTTCAAAGGGTGTGTGACCATGTGCGGAATGATAGGTCGTGTTATACCAAAACTCAGCCAATGGAATCCATTGTGCCCACTTCTGGGGACAGGAATGTACCATGCAGCGGAGATATGTTTCAAGGCATTGATTCAATCGTTCGGTTTGGCCGTCGGTTTGTGAATGGTAGGCAGAACTCATATTAAGTGTTGTTTTAGTGAGCTTGAATAATTCTTGCCAAAGGGCACTAGTGAAGATTTTATCTCTATCAGAGATGATGATGGAAGGCAAGCCATGCAGTTTGTACACATGAGCCAAGAAGGCTTGGGCTACAGATAAGGCAGTATATGGGTGGCCTAAACAAATAAAGTGTGCATATTTTGTGAGTTTGTCAATGACAACAAGGATAGTATCAAAACTTTTGGATTTAGGCAAGCCCTCAATAAAATCTAGACTAATGGTGTGCCAAGCATGGGTAGGAACAGGTAGTGGATGCAATAAACCAGGTAATTTGCAGTGTTCAGGTTTAGCTTGGGCACATACCTCACAAGTATTAATGTAATCGGTGATAGACTGCTTCATATGTGGCCAGGCAAACAGTGATTTTACCTTGTGATATGTGGTTGTAATGCCACTGTGTCCTCCCAAGCCACTAGAGTGAAGGGCCAATAAAACAGCTTGCTGTGCTTCCTTATGGTTCCCCAACCAGATTCTGTTTTTGTATTTGATCACCCCATCACTAAGAGTGAAGCCTTTGTCATTGGATCTAGTGATACTGAGCTCAGTGAGCAACTGCTTGGTTTGGTCATCTTGCTAATACCCCTCCAAAATGATCTCCAACCACTTGGGAGTGCTTGCAGTGATGGCAGTCAAGGAGACAGGCTCAGCTTGTCTGGAAAGAGCATCGGCAGCTTTGTTGTCCAAACCCTTCTTATAAAGGATTTTGTACTGCAAGCCCAACAGCTTGATGAAGGCTTTTTGTTGCATACCTTCATGTAGCTTCTGCTCCCCTAGGTGAATGAGGCTCCTGTGATCAGTGACAATGGTAAATTCCTTGTGCTGGAGGTAAGGCTTCCACTTGGTGATGGCCAAAATGAGTGCCATGCACTCCTTCTCATATGTTGAGAGGGCTTGAGCTTTAGGGCCAAGGGCCTTGCTGAGGTAAGCCACTGGGTGTGAGTCCTGAGATAAGACTGCACCTATGCTAGTGGATGAAGCATCGGTCTCAACTGTGAAGGCCTTGGTGAAATTTGGTAAGGCTAGCACAGGTGCTGAAATGAGAGCTTGCTTCAAGGTGTCAAAACATGTTTGCAGTTGAGGTGTCCAATGAAATAGAACATCCTTTTTCAATAGGTCA